TCTGGCCCCAGAGGTGCAGGCGCCTTCTCTGCTCCCATGCCCAAGAAGCTGCTGCTGCTGGCTGGCATTGATGATGGCTGCACATCACTCAGGGACTGCACTGTCACCCTGAGCAACTTTGCCAGGCCACCTTTGATGCCATCTCTAAGAGCTACAGCTACCTGACCTGGCATCTCTGGGTAGAGAACATGTTTATTAAGTCTCTCTGCCAGAAATTCACCAACCATCTTGTGAAACCTATGGAGAATCTCCATCATGCAGAGGCCCCAGGCTACTGCATAGGTTTTTTTGTTTGTTTTGTTTTGTTTTTCGAGACAGGGTTTCTCTGTGTAGCTTTGGAGTCTATCCTGGCACTCGCTCTGGAGACCAGGATGGCCGCGAACTCACAGAGATCCGCCTGTCTCTGCCTCCCGAGTGCTGGGATTAAAGGCGTGTGCCACCAACGCCCAGTTGCATAGGGTTTTTATAGGAGAAGCAGATCCTGAATTAAATATTTCTGTTTTTTGTGTGTGTACGTGTGTGTGTGTGTGTGTGTGTGTGTGCGCGCGCGTGTGCTCCAGGGCATGTGTGGTCAGAGGACAACTTTGCAGTTTCTTCTTTCCTTCCACCTTTATGAAGTTTCCAAGGATGGAATTCAGGTTGCCAGGCCTACATGGCAAGGACCTTTACCAGATGAGCCGTCTCACTGATCCTCCTATCTATTTTTTTCTTAATAACAAATTTAAATAGATTAAGTTGCTAAATTTGTTAAAATCCTATTATGAAAGGCACTTAGAAATGACTTTGTTAGAAACCGCCCACCCGCCTCAGCACCTCCGCTTTCTGCTCTGTATCTGTCTTTCGCTTTGGGTGAGCATCGGGTCCTGCTCTGCTTAGACATGTTAAACACTCCAGATGTCTATTGATTCATCTCATCCCTTTAATCCGAAGGCACTGAGATAACCTGCAGGTTCCAAACCTGCCGTTATCATGGGTACAACAGAACCTTGCTGGATCATTCCCAGATGAGGGCAATCATCCATGAGGGTGAGGCTGTACCCCAGACCATGAGTCATCATCTCCTGGGAATCAGCCTGTCCTCTCAGGCAATAGAGACTTCCTTGGACCATCTTGAAGAATTGGAGTTGAGACAACTATCAATTAGATCACACCTTGACTTAAGACTGCTGGGGTTGAATTCAGGTTGTCAGGCTTGATGGCAAGTACCTTTACCTGTTAAGCTGTTTCGTTAGCTGTCCTTTTCCTTCTCTCTCTCTCCCCTTCCCCACCTTTCATTCTTTCTAGTCAGGGTTTCTGTGATGGCTAGTTTTATGTCAACTTGACACAAGCTAGAGTCATCTGAGAGGAGGGAACCTCAATTGAGAAAATGCTTCCATAAGATCCGGCTGTAGACGAATCTGTAGGGCATTTTCTTAATTAGTGATTGGTGGGGGAAGACCCAGCCCATGGTAGGTGGTGCCATCTCTGGGCTGGTGGTGGTCCTGGGTTCTGTAAGAAAGCAGGTTGAGCAAGCCATGAGGAGCAAGTCAGTAAGAAGCACCCCTCATGGCCTCTGCATCAGCTCCCGCCTCCGAGTTCCTGCTCTGTCTGAGTTCCTGTCTTGACTTCCTTTGATGATGAACAGTGATGAGGAACTGTAAGCCAAATAAACCCTTTCCTCCCCAAGTTGCTTTGCTCATGGTGTTTCATCATATAATAGTAACCATAACCAAGACACTTTGACGCATCCTGGGATAGCCTCAAGCTCTTTATGTAGCCAAAGGTAGATCTTGAACTTCTGATCTTGCTTCTACTTCTGAGTGCTGGGATTATAGATGTGTGCCACCATCAGTGCTGGGGCTCACACTTAGAGATCTCTGTGTGCTAAGTAAGCGAGTACTAGCTTTGAGCTACATCCCCTCCCCTGTTGTTTTGTTTTGTTCTGAAACAGGGTTTCCTTATATAGCCGAGGTTGACCTTGAACTTGAGATCTTCTCGCCTCTGCCTCCCTCGTGCTGGGATTATAGGTTGTGCACCCACGTCGGTAAGGAATGACTTTCTCTTGCCTTGTGACCTTGTCTGGGGAGGCAATGTCCTGTGTATCAGAGGTTCCTATTCTGGATACTGGCTTCAGGTGACTACTGATGTGTTTCAGAATGCTGTCACCTAGGATGAGTGGGCTTGAGCATACTAGACAAGGCAAGTGGTTTTCTTAGGTCCATCCAGCTCTCTAGCCTCCCTGACCTGGCCTGGTCATATTAGCTCTCTGAGGATAAAGAATAAAGGGATCCCAGGAGTTCTGTCTCTGGATCCTTCAAGGACAAGTTGGAGGTAGGTCCTGGTCTCAAGTGCACAATACAATTGTTTTGGAAGTTTCCTCTCACAGACGTCAGCCCCCACTTCCCAACCCATCTCATGGAGACTGAGTCACGGGTCGATGATGGTTCATGTCGTGGGGCCAGCCAAGCCTATTGATCGAGGGCTGAGACATCCTCCCCACTAATCAACAGTTAATTAAGCCTTTGGTGAGGAGGTGGTGATTAATGAAGAGTCAGTTTGTCCTGTAATTGGGATTCGAAAGGGGAGGGAGTGCCAGAGATGCACATGGGGGCTTAGGGGGGGGCTGGCTCCTGGTCCACACGGAGGGACCCTCTTGGGTTCAGCGAGCTTTCATACACTAAATCTGGGCCTTCCCTTAAATCCCCTTATTCCTCTTTGTCATCTTTCCTTGAACCTTGTATTCCCTAAGGCTGTTGGGGACAGTGTCCAGGCTTGATGAATCCATGTTCTTCTCACAGGCTCATTTATCTCTGTCTGGGGTCCATGCACCTACAAACCCCTCACCACCATAGCTAGCACAAATGTCCATATTACCATATCCTTGTCCCTTGTAGCCTGCTGTCCTTGTCTTTCTAGGCTCTGAGCTCTATTATCAGAGCTGTCCTAACCAGTGTCCAGGTTTCCCTCTGCCAGTCCTGTCTTTTTGTCCCATGGCCCTTGGCTTTCCCCCAAGGAGTAGAATTCCTTCCCTTCTGTCTTCTCCTCTCCAAACAGGACACTGGCTGGTCTCTCTGTATCTGTTTTAAGACAGAGGGGGTTCCCAAGGATGTGGCCGTGACTCTTCCCTGAGATGAGGGCTCCCGGAGGACAAGGCTGTGAGGCTCCCTAAGAACTATCTCGGTCCTTTCTTCAAGACTAGGGTGCACGTCCCTTCGACCTAATGTCCCCTTCCACCCCTGTACTCATCAAGATTCCCTGGTGCTGCTTCTGTTACATGGGGCCTACGGGACCTGGCTGGTTGATAAGGATCCATTTCCGGAGGGTACAGGTGACTGAACCCATAAAAAGGTGATTGAAGGAGTCCTGGATGCTCCATCTCAGGTGAGTTCTAAAAATAGCATCCACAGCCATCTGTGCTGGAAAGTGGAAGGCCTGGTCCAGGACTAGGGATCTGGGCAAGATGGCTTCTCTTGTTTCCCTGGATTGGAAGGGGAGGCTCTGGCAGGCAGAGAGAAGGAACTGGAAAAAACTTTACAGAACACTTCCCTATAGCCCTCTCTTCTTGATGAAACAGGTGGGTCTGATGGGGTTGGTAGTCTGGGGCTCTTCTTCCACTCAGCAACTCAGAGTAGGTTGTGATCTGAGACAGCCTATCTCAGTCCTGCTCCCATGTGTAACTCCTGAGCTTGGAGGTGCCGAGCCTGTCCACTGTCCACGCTGAGAAAGCTGTCCCCTGGGTCTGTCTGCTCTCTTCCCCTGTTTGAGCCATGGGTGACCCCTCAGAAGTTCAGTTTTCTCACCTGTAAGATGGGGACACTTTGAATATTGTGCAGGAATTGATGTGCCATGGAGTACAGAATAAATGCTTAATAAACCTGAGTGGTTTTTTAAGTGGCCTTCTGTAGTAGGCACACTGCCTCCCTCATTAGCCCCAGAGTATAGTAATGGCTCTAAGGGGCTTAAACAGTGGCATGCACCCGGTCACCTTGGCATCACTCAGCCACAGAAGACACCCATGTGTCTTCTGGTTGGGGATGGGATTCTGTCTTGAGATGGCACCTTATGTTAGGTGTGCATAGCTGGTCCTGGGTCTGTCTGGTCTAGGCTAGAATATACAATGTAGCTGATGCAGCTGCTTCTGCAAAGGGAACTAGCCTCTTGCCTCCCTCTGTCTCTCTTTCAATCGAGAAAGGGCACAATGGAATGTCTGTCCAGTGAGAGCTCATTCTCGGGGCATCATAATCAGGTTGGGAGGCAAGGATACATGCTCCCACCCCTGCCTTCAGCAGAAGAAGACTTCCACTACATGTCCAGTCAGTCCTGGGATGCCAAACAGAAGCTCACAGGGTTGCTTCTTGGAAGGAGCTGTCACGGGTCCCACAGGCTGAGAGAACTGTGTTCCCCTTTCTCCATCCCCTTCTATGAAAAGGCTAAGGAAGATGAGCTCCCATCCCTGATTTCGCCCAAACTCTAGATTCACTTCCTGTGACAGCTGTGGGGTGAACGCCAGATTCAGGCAAGGCACCCCTCCAGAAGGACCCCAAGTCCAAGGAACGGCGCTGCCCCCTCAGCTCCTGCGAGGCAGAGACAGCACGTCCTGGCTGGGTGTAAAGTCAACGATTGGCAGGGGTGGAGGGAGGGAGGAGACAAGCCCTCTCCTGGAGGATCCCCTCCCGTGGATTCCCCCCTCCCTTTGCAAGTGGGATATAAGCCCCGTAGGGAAGCTCTGAGCAGAGGCCAGAGGCTGCCCGCGTTGAGTAGCTGTCCAGCCCTCTAGCCTCGCCTGCTTTCCACCTCCTGCTTCAGGACCAGTCGCTGTGAGTGAGCGGGCCCCAGGGATGATCTGATATCGTGCTATTTTGTAGGGAAACCGAGGTCGGATCAGAGGAAACTGAAGCTGAGTAGTTGGGAGCTGGATGGGCAGGGTCTAGCTGGGGAGACATGGAGAAGCTGGGGAGGCTGGGGCGGGGTGGAGGGCAGCATTGCTTTCTTCCCTTATCTACCTCTCTGGGAGTGGAGAGGTAGGCAGGGCTTATGGCTGTCTGATAGACGAGGAAACTGAGGCTAGAGATACTGCAGGACGGGAGAAGACGAGGCGAGCCTGGTGACTTGAGACAAACAGTCTGAGACATGGGCCCGACGGCAGCGGCAGCCTGAGGTCGAGAACTCAGGACGGCCCACCCTCCAATGCTCCCTTCCTAGATGGCGCATAGGCCTTGGTCCGTCATGGTCGCAGTGCTGCTAGTCCTGCTCGCCTGCCTGGGAGCGCTGGTGGACGCCTACCCCACCAAACCCGAGGCTCCGGGCGAAGACGCCTCCCCGGAGGAGCTGAGCCGCTACTACGCCTCCCTGCGCCACTACCTCAACCTGGTCACCCGACAGCGGTGAGCGCTGGAGAGGGCGGGGCGGGAGGACCCCAGTCTCCCGGGTTGCACCCTCCTCCCAACTCCACCTGGAGGCCTGACCACGCCCCTTTGTGGTCCCACCCCCAGGTATGGGAAAAGAGACATCCCAGACGCTGTCTTCTCCAAACTGCTCTTCACTGACGACAGAGAAAACCTCCCCATCAGGTCTCGGTAAGAAACACCCGCCCTCCACGACACGACACGCATCCCCTGGAGAGTGGCCTGGTCCCGTCACTTACACCTCCCATTCAATTCATCTCTTTTCCCTCCTGCAGGCCAGAAGGTGCCTACCAATGGTGAAGACCCCAAGTCCTCTTTCGAGATGTGTTAACTATACCGACTTCATTTGCATATTTGGTTCCAAGAGGGGACTCCGTATCTTGGTGTCCCGGGTGCCCAGGCTTGGGGGCCGTGTGTGTTCATTTCCCTGTCCCTAAATAAAAAAAAGCAAATTTCACACAAAATAACGCGCGTGGGTTTATTTTTCCGTCCCTTTCGCTTTTGTGGAGGTGGCGTCAGTGGTGTGTAAGGTGACAGCTTGAGCCGCACGCAGGAAACACTGGTGGCTAGGAAAGAGGATTCTGAGGAAAGGAGAGGGCGTGGTGGGAGAGTTCAGCATAGACACCTCTTCCCAGCCCCGGGCTCCCAAAGGACCTGGGAAGGCACTCTGGGGGAAGGGAGCCTAGAAGAGTGTGGGTGGAGTGGATTCTGAGGAGGGTCCAGAAAAGATCAGTACGCAAGTGCGTTTGAGGGCGGTCCAGGAGAGTGGCAGGGAGAAGTTCCCCTGAGCAGCCCTGTGTTAGTCCCAGGGCCATGGAGGACAGAGGGTTAGGGTCTAGGATGACCCTGGAGGAAGAGAACTTGGAGAGGTGATGTGGGGTGTACCGAGTGAGGAGGTAGATAAGTCACTTCCTCATTCCCTGAACAAGGCGAGCAACCAGACTGTGGAGGTCTCCTTCTCCCTGCAACAGCTGGAATTTCCCATACTCCCGAATGCAGGCTTGATGTCTATCACTAACTGTTTTTCTGGTGAAAAGGCCTGGGAATACCCCCAATTCGCTCTTTCCCCATTAAACACTGAGGTTTAAAGTGCTGTGGGTGTTTAAACTGTAGTCTAACCTGAGCCCCTGGATGTCTGTTATTGCAGGAAGTCCATTAATTTGGCCCATTTAAGCCTTTTTGCCTTCTCTGGGTACCTAGCTCTCCCTCTCTCCCCCTCTCCCTCTCCCCCCCGCTACTTCTCTGTTTACTATGAAACACATCCATTTCTCTTGTGTTCTGTTTTCCTAGGTCTTGCAGGGTTGCGTGGGGAGCGGTGCTGGTGAAAGGGCATATGTGCCCTATACTCTGTTAAGCAGGACCTTCCTGGGGAGGTGGCCAGGGAATGAGAGGGAGGTGATCATGATGAAGCCAAGGCTACAGATCCAGAGAAAGGGTGTCAGTCAGGAAGGCGGGATGGTATCGCTGTGTGGAGGGGGGAGGCAAGCAGGACTGGTGACCCTGGAAGGAGAGTAGCCTCTGCTACAACACTTCCTGCGTTAGGGGATGATGGGGGTCCTGCATCCATCTTCTGGGGCTGCCCTTCAACTTAACAGGCCTAAAGGGAGAGGAGGAGGAGGCAACCCCAGGGTCTAACTAGTCGTAGACCGCATGGATTCTGGTCTCCATAGGGCTTGCTTGCACCACCTTTTCTTCCTCTCCAGCCTAAAAAGTCCCTCTTGCATCACGGTTACTTCCTAGAGCCGTTCCTGGTTCCTTTTGGTGGAATTAGTCCCTCTGCATCTCTCCCTTGAATATTGCCATTACCCAAGACCCCCATCTCCTACCCCAATGTGCTCCCCGTGTCCCTTCATTGCTCCAGGCTTGCAATGACTAGCTGTGTGTCTGGATGCTGATGTCTGTGGTCCCTATCTGCTGTTATGCCTGGGGAAGCTGCGGTTAGTTGGAAGCAAACAGAGGAGAGACCTGGCATGAACCATATGCATGGCCACAGACAGTTTGTGTAAAGGTGGCATGTCCAGGTGACCGTTAGCGAGGTGGCTTTACTTCTGGTTCACTCGGAGGAGCTTTGAGCAGGTGTGTAATCTGGGACTGATCAACTTAATCAATGTGTAAGCCAGGAGGAAACTTAGATATACTAATGGTAACAAAGACAGTAACAATAATTATCTTTGCAAAAAGCTCTTCTCCTTAAAAATTATATTGATTTTTATTGTGTGTGATGCGTGTGTCACAACTTGTGGAGTTAAGAAGACAACTTTGGGTAGTTGGTCCTCTTCTTCAACCTTTATGTGGATTCTGGGAGATCAAACTCGGATCATCCAGCCTGTGTAGTCAGGCAGCAAGCCTCACACATCAGTTTCGTTTTGAGACAAGGTCTCTGTGTGGTCCTAGATGTCCCGGAATTCACTGGGTAGACCAGGCTGGCCTTGAGCCATCAGAGATCCACTTACCTCTGCCTTCTGAGTGCTGGGATTGAAAAAGTGTGCCACCATGCCTGGCTCAAACAGCAAGCACATCTTTGTGTGTTATATCATTAGCTATATGTTACTATCATATTGATCTGGTTGTGTGTGTATGTTTGTGTATCTGTCCGTCTGTCTGTGTATCCCATGGTGCTCATGTGCAGGTCAAAGGACAACTTTCAGGAATTGTTCCTTCCTTCTACAGTGGGTTTGGGGATGGAACTCAAATCCTGCTAAACCTTCTTGTCAGCCCAAAGTGACAACATATCAAGGTACCTTTTGAGGAAGGATCTGGAATACAATCCTATATAGGTGAGGGATAGCTATACCATAACCTGCTTCTTCTCAATCTCAGCGACCTCATCTTAAAAAAAGTAACTAAAAGGCTGCCTGGGCCTCCTCCTCCTCCTCCCCCTCCCCCTCCTCCTCCTCCCCTTCTCCCTCCTCCTCCTCCTTCACCCTTGAGCTCTTTGTAGAACCCCTATTCCCCATCTCCTCCTGATGTCCCCAATAGCTTATGTGCAAGTTGGGCACAATGACACATTTGGGAGGGCTGGCGCAGGAGGATCACAATTTTCAAGACCAGCCAGGGTTACTTAATGACATGTCCTTCAAAAATGCAGAGCAGGGGCCTGGGGAGCTGGCTTAGTTGGTAGAGTACTCATCACACCGTGTAAGGACCCCAGATCGCAGCACTCATGGAGAAAGACAGTCACAGAGTAGCAGGGGAGTGTGTGATTCCAGCACAAGAGCGGTGGAGACCAGCGGAACCCTGGAGCCCGCTGGCCAGTCAGGTCAGCCGAATTGTGAGTTCCAGGCCACAGTGTGAGACCCTGGTTCAAAAAGACAAGGTGGGTGGTGTTTGAGGTGTGCGTACGCACATACACTCACACTCACATCTACATAAACCCTCACACACACCTACACACACACACACCCCACGCACCCTACACATACCTACACATACACATACTCCCCCAACACAAACACACTGCAAAACAAAATGAAACAAAATTATGTGTACTGCAAATCACTGATGCTTGCCCTGGTCACTGACAGTCAGGAAAGGGTGTGATGGAGGGCAGGACACTGGTCAAACTCCTGTCCTGGGGGATGTACATGGGCCTCTGCACTTGGTCCCTCTCCTAATCTCATTATCACATTACCCACTAGCCATCTTCCTGGTCCAGAGAACATGTGGCTAGTAAGGAGCCACTAGCATCTTGGTCAGTCTGTCTGCCCGGTAAAGACATGTGCCTTCCCCGACGCTGCATGCAAGCGCTGCAGAGACCCACGATGGCCAACAGAAGCTATCTGTGTGTTCTAGATGTGGTCATACTATTTAGAAGGCACGGGCATTACCTTCTCCTCCTGGATTGTCACCACCTGTAAGGATCTTGGAATCTGTTGTTGCAAAAATCTAAAGCCACGGGTTTGGTTGACATTTGAGGAGCAGCTCTGACTTGTTAGGACTAGACAAAGCTGGGTGACTTGGGTGACAAACTGTAAATAGTTCCCACACCAGAAGCAGCCCCAGAATTCAGTCTATTTGGTGAGGGTCCTTCGTCTAAGTAGAAGCCAGAACAGAATCCATGAGGCTCAGAGCCCAGAGAAACTTAGAGCCTTAAAAACCTACGCCGCCGGAGACAGGCGCCCCCTGGTGGCATCTGTAGCCGCTCCCAGGCAGCGCGCGGGCTCGAATCAGAGACTTGCCACTGGTTTTGCATAGTGGACTTGTTAAGAAGTGAACTCCGCTTAGATGGGAGCTCAGAGCAACAGGCTCCTTGATTCTCCCTGTCTCGGGGTGGGCGCAATGCTCTCACTTTACAGAGAGTCTAATGGGATTATGCTCCCAGGACAACACAGGGGGAGGGACAGGGCAGGAGCTGGGCTTTCTGACCTCTAATTTCACCACACCAGATTCCTGGCTGTCACCTTCTCCCCTCTCATCACTTCCTGCATTTCCAGGACCCACACTGATGCCTCTTGATGTTCTGACCTTAGAGCAGAGCCTCAAGAAAAAAGAGAGGCCCCTGCTCCGGTCTCAGTCGTCAACATAAACAGAGCCAGTGACTGCCTCTTTGCCTGAGCAGGGTAGAGGTCCTGCCTGGGGAAAAGACACTGAACATGAAGAAGACAATGGCACACACCGGGAGCGTCTCTCAGGGGAAGAATTGCAGGCTGACTGTGAGACATGGGGGTGAGGCTTAGACAGGTGTTCCACCTCTGTGAGCCTCCCATTCCTTAGTCAGGAAGCAATACTCTGACAGTTCCAGTTAGAGGAGTTCAAGGTTGTTGTTAAACCTTGTTTCAAACCCTGGACCTCCCAACCATTAGCTGTGCAGTCTGGGCCCAGATACTCGAGGTCTCTGGGCAGAGTTCAGTTTTTGTTTTTTAAGTCTGCCAATTAGGGCCTGGCAGGGGTTCGGTAGGATGACAGTGTGGAACTTTTTGGACAACTTGAAGCTTATAAGTGATGCTGGATTTTAGCACTCCCCTGGGACAGAGCTCTGGGGTGGGAAAGGAAATAGCTACCAGAAATTGCCCCTTCTCTGTAGTCCTCTGAACTCCAGGGCTGCCAGACCTTGATTGGCATCCTATGAACTCACCAAATGGGTTTCTCCACTCCTTTCCAAGTGACTTGAGGACCTGAGATTCCCTCTCTGTCCCTTCCTTGTTCTAGCTGTACTCTGGAAAGGAAGGCCCAACTTGTATCCTTTCATGCTGGGGAGGAGCCTCGAACTGTAGCCTCAATTTGTGCCCTGAGGAAATCCTTTTGGTGACAGGGGCTGTCCCTGGGGAGGCTGTCCTTGAGGCCAGCAACTAGAGCCTTTGGGGTATCATGTCAGGACTCTGTCATTTATGAATCAGACCTGTTTTGGCGCCTAAAGCTGGACACAGACTGCACAGGAGACCCTTGTCACGACCCAATTTCATTCATTTCATGCTACTCTGACAGTGAGAACACTGCCCCGGTGCCTTCCTCTTTCTGGCCTCAATGCCTGTGTTTCAGGTACCAGGGAGACAGCAAAAAGGGGTTGAAGGCTGGCAATGAGAAAAGCTGAGGGGGGCGGGGACTATCGGGGTGCTGAGGACTATAAAGGGCGCAGCCATGTGAGAAAGACTGGTCAGCAGGAGGTAGGTGTCTGCGTGTTTCAACACCAACACTTGCTCAGGACACAGGGTAAGTGGGCTCATCCTGCCTGCCTCTGGGGACCTCTTGGGTTGAAGCTGGTATTGGAAGGTAGGAATTGGTGCTTTGTAGGACTGGGGCTCTCAGGTGGCCTAAGGTCCTTCTTGGGTCTCTCTCTGCATCCGCACAAACCTGTCAGTGGAAGGTTGGACCTGCACTATTATACACTCTGTTCCTCTGCTTTACAAGTGAATTCTGCATACTCCCACCCTGTTTCCCACCAGCCCTGGCCATTCTTGCATCCTCAGAGCTATCAATGCCATAAGTCCTGCGTATCTAACCTCATACCCACTTTCTCTGCTACGCTTTTCTATGTCGTCTAACCCCGGGGCTAACCTTTGGCTGCTGACCTGATCAATGAGGGGGTGTGTATTCGTAGGTGTCCTCACTTTCCAGGGAAAGAAAGTGGTGGATGCTGGTGACTCTTTTGTCTGCCCTTGTCCCCAGGCTTGACTTGAAGAAATTTGTGGTGGGCAGTGGCTGGGCAGGTAGGTCCTGGACGTAGGAGGATCTGCAGATGGGCTGTGTTCTGCCTTCACTCTGTTACTGTTCCTTAGATGGCCACCACATGCCGCTGCCTCTCCCTGTTTCTCCTATCCACTTGGGTGACTCTGCTGCTGCAGCCCCTGCAAGGTGCCTGGGGAGCCCCACTGGAGCCAATGTACCCAGGGGACTATGCTACACCAGAGCAGATGGCCCAATATGCAACTCAGCTCCGCAGATACATCAACACACAAACCAGGCCTAGGTAGGGTGTGTATGTGTGTGTGTGTGTGTGTGTGTGTGTGTGTGTGAGAGAGAGAGAGAGAGAGAGAGAGAGAGAGAGAGAGAGAGCCCTAACACTAGCCTCAGTCCCTTCAGTGTCTGCTCTGAAAAAACAGTATTTCTACTGAGTGGCTTGGGTCTTTGTGCTGTGGGCAAGACAGTGTCTAAGGGAGGAATCCAAGGCAGGTGAGTTGATACCTGGGTACCACACTTATCCTAGTTGTCTTCCTTACCAGGTATGGAAAGAGAGAAGGGGCAAACACAGCTGGACTTCCTAGAATGCAGCTTGCCCCGTGCACCAGCCCTCTGGTTGGTTTGATTCCTTGCCCAGCTCCCTGCAGCTAAGAGCAGGTCTGGAAAGTGGGGCTCTGGAGGAGGCGGAAGGAGCAAAGAGTCTCAGAGAACAAGGGCTGTCCTTTCTCACTGTTCATTTCTTTCCTTACAGGGAGTTCAGCCCAATAAACCTGTAGTACCCTACCTGTTTCCTGTCTGTAGCTGTAGGACAGTACCAGCCTGGCTGCTTCCTCGGTGTTCTTGCAACAACCTGCTCCCTTGCAAACTAAATAAAGCAAATTAAAAATCATAGCCTCTGCGGGGTGTGTGTGTGTGTGTGTGTGTGTGTGTGTGTGTGTGTGTGTGTATGTGTGTGTGTGTACACCCATAGGGGCAGAAGAAGGTAAAATCCACAGTCAGGGAAGATGAGGGGCAAGGGGACTTAGGATGACCATAAGTGCCAGTAGGGGTTCAACTCATCCTTTTCACAGAGGGGCAAGTTGTGGTCCAGAGAGATGTGAGACTCCCCCAAAGATCTGTGATGTGGCAGTCTTGAGCTTAATCTTTCTATCCCAGCACCTCTAAACCATCCAGCTCTTTAGCCTGAGGCCAACCCTTTCCCCGCATGTACCCTCAATACTGCTTCCTATAACCTGGGAAGCAGGGGAGGAATCATTTCTATTAAAGCACCCTTGGCATGAGGCAGAGGCAGCGCCTGAGGACTAGCGCTGGCTGGAAACCAGTCAGCTGTTGGCTTTGTAGGGTTCTGTTCTCCAGAAATCTGGGGGGGGGGGAGATGGGCCTGAGAGGTAGTGAACTGCCAGCCTGAGAACGAATTTCAGCTAGGGCGAAGAGAAAAGCTGTAGGGGGATGTGCCCCTTCCCCAAGAGATCTGACCACCTCCAGGTATCCAACCCGTGGCATTCACATTTTGATTCTTGGGGCAAGGAGGGAAGACCCAGATGCTACCTGAGGAGTCCCTGTAGACTGTCTACTCATACCAGGCATCCTGAGTAGGTGGAGATGGTATGGTGTGGTGGTGTGGTGGTGTGGTGGTGTGGTGGTGTGGTGGTGTGGTGGTGTGGTGTGTGTAAAGTGAAAAAGAGACTGAGCTGGACTCCCCTTTCTGGGAGCTTTTGTGGATAAGGACATCATGGAGAAGGAAGACAGGAGACATTCCCAGAAGGCTTCTCCCCTCTCTGCTGCAGGCTGCCTCTGAAGGTCTGAGGGGGTCATAGGCTTGGTGGATAAAAGTTTACTTTCCCCAGCTCAGCACTTGACATTGATTCATAACAGTGACATTGTAACTGTGCTTCTCTATGTTGAGTGTGAATGACCTGGAGGCAGAACCTGCCCTAGAAGGGCCAAGGCTTGTACAGGATGCAGCAATCCCGCAAATGACTGGCTCAGGTTGGTTTTTAAATCCAAGGGGGTGTCTAGATAGGGGATAGGGAGGTTTCTGCAGGAGAACAGGGTTTAAATGTGGGTGCTGGAGCCTCAAGTTCTCTGTAGCTTAGGTGATGGCCTTGAGTTTTATCTTATACACACGGGTGTTTTGCCTGCATACATGTCTGTGTACCACCTGTGTACCTGGTGCCTTTGGAGGCCACAAGAGGATTTCAGACTTCCTGAAACTAGAATTTCAGAAGGTTGTAAAACACCACGTAGGAATCTCTGCACTCTCTGGAAAGCAGCCAGTGCTCTTAAACCCAGAGCCATCTCTCCAGGCAGAGATGGGTTCTGTGGGGAACGGTAAACAGTTATAGAGGCAGAAGGTAGGAGCCTGTTCCACACACACCTGGGTTTGACAGATGGATGGTATCGGAAGGAGTGTGTGCCCCTGACCAGAACTCTCTGGTGGTCAGGCTTCAGGAACAGGCTCTCCCAGGTTCTGGAGGGGGAGGCCCCTAGACTTCACTACTCTGTGTTTGTTTTTGTGCCATTCTCACAGACCCACCGGCATTCCAATCTGTCATGCTGTATGGTGAACCTTGACAGGGAGCAGGTCTGGATAAAGGCCCTGCTTAGAAGGGACCAGTTCTTTCACCTCCTCTCTCTCAGAGTCACAGTCACTCTGGAAGCAGCGGATGTGCAGAAACGGTGCAGACAAACTTATACTGAGACCTGTTTGTCTCCCAGGAGGAATTAGAGGGTCCCCTTCCTCACTGAAGGACAAGCCCTTCCTGCCAGTGCCCACAGAAGCCCCAGAAGCAATAGATTCTTTTTAAAAATTATTTATTTAATCCATTCCTTTGCTGTTGTGGTTTGTATGACGTGTGTGTATATGTGAGCCATGGTACAGGTGTCCTTTCTTCCATCTTATGAGCTCGGGAATGGAACTCTGGCCGACAGGCTTTGCGACAAGTGCCTTTACCCCCTGAGCCATCTCGTCAGGTCCACTATTTCTCTTTGTTGTCCGTGCTGCGTGGATAGGGAGGAATAGATGGCCATCTCACCACCTAAAGGGGTCCGTGGCTAGTCAGATCCGGGACAGGCCTCTGGAGGTCAAGGTCCAGTCTGGAGAGGAACACCCAGACCCTGGCGTACCCCTTTCACATCCCCAGGAGGTCCCCGCTCTCTCCTATCCACCTGCCCGAGGATATGGGTGGAGGCCTCTGCTGACTGCACGGATCTCACCTACCTGGAGTCAGGGGAGGAGGCTTATAGCTGGAGCCGGAGGAGTTCCAGGGCTTGGGGGTCGCTGGTGTTTTATGGTGGTGGAGTTCATGGCGTTCAAGTGGGGATGTACTATGGTGCTCGGTGGGGTAGATTTGGTAGAGTTGGAGGGGTTCTTGTGGTTTTGGGATTTCTTCGAACTAGGGGACACGTCATGGCAGAGATCGTGGGGCCCGAGAAGTGAGTAGGATGCCAGGTACCCCTCCCCCCATTCCTCCGCCAGCTCACCTGCTGGTGAAGAACTTCTCCAAGTACTTGTTGATGTAGCCGAAGTTTGTAAACCAATTGGCCACTCTGGGCTCGGGAGACTGCTGCATTTGGACCTCATAGGCCAGGGCGCCATCGGGTGGCACCAGGAGTGAAGCTAGGCACCCCAGAGCCAGTGCGCACGCGCAGGGTAGAGCCACAGTCTGGAGGGGGAGGGACAGCGTGGTGAGGTAGGATCGGGTGGAGGGCTGGACCTGACTGTGCCTGCTCTGAATCTTGTGGAGTCACACTTCGTCTGTTGGGGAAGCCGGGAGTGTGGCGAAGCTCAGACCAGGAGAAGTAGCTGCTTCTGGAATACACAGAGCGTCTAGGGAATCCTGGTTCCCAGGGAGCATGGGACACGACTGGATGTGCACCGGTTTATCCCCAAAGCACTGGGTTAAGAAATGGACAGGAGCCACACTCTGACAAGGATACATGATCTAGAGTCACAGGTCAGGTCCCTGATCTCACAGACTTCTGCTGCAAATTCCTCATGCTCCCCAATCCCAGCCTTTACCATCTCCTTATCTGGTCCTCAAAACCCCTAGACTTGTCTGCCTGGAATCCTTGTTCTCAGCTTCAAGCAACAGCTCAATACTCTAAATGGGTCTAACCTGACACCCCGATATGAAGTTGCCACCCACTCTTTTTGTTTGTTTGTTTGTTTGTTTGTTTTTGAGACAGGGTTTCTCTGTGTAGCTTTGGAGCCTATCCTGGCACTCGCTCTGGAGACCAGGCTGGCCTCAAACTCACAGAGATCCGCCTGCCTCTGCCTCCCGAGTGCTGGGATTAAAGGCGTGTGCCACCAACGCCCGGCTGCCACCCACTCTTATCTTGCTGTATTCTATACTAATTTGTAGTTATTGTCTGAGCCTCTTCCCAGCCCCACCTCCTCCCACCACATTGCAGGTGGGCTCTTGACCTACTTTCTCTTTGATACAGTACTGCCTGCCACTTAGATCCGCACCTGGCGTTTAACACATCAAATGAATAACATAGTTGCACACTAAAGTAGTAGTCTAGCAATCCCTAACTCACACCCCCAGTCTCTCTCTCTCTCTCTCTCTCTCTCTCTCTCTCTCTCTCTCTCTCAGAAGCGCGCGCGCGCGCGCGCACACACACACACACACACACACACACGGGCGGGGGGGAGGGGGAGAGAAAATGATCCCCAATAAGACACTTTCTTGAGCCCCTGAAATCTCCCTTAACCAGAATTCCCCTCATTTGCTCCTCCTCAAACAGGGACAGGAAGCTCTCTATGACAGCTGTCCTGGCTGTCAGAATGGCTTCACTTTTTCACCCCCTAGGTGGGCCTGTGGAGGAGCCCTTGGTGCCAGCCTCTATTCCCAAGCTCCCGGAGAGCGCAGGTGACAGGGCTCCACCCCACACTTAGTCATCAGACATTACCATAGTGCTGAGCAGGTACAAAGAGGCACAGCAGAGGGTCTCTCCGGCCAGGACTTCAGAGGCCATTTATATTTCCATGGATCCATGACCCTGTCCTCAAAGGCCCCACCCAAGCGTGACTTCCTACTGTTCCTGTGTCATGACCCAGGAATTGGGTACACAGAGAGTGTGGGGGTGGAAGCGCATGACCTCCTGACTGTCTGATTTAAGGCTCAGGGTCTTCCAAGGGCCCGTAGGGGTGGGTGGCAAAGGCAGGAGGCAAGATCATAGATCCCAGGGGAGAGCTGCTGTCCCTGGGGTTGTGAGTGGGCAGTGCCTTTCCCAGGAGCTATTTCTGGGGTCAGCAGAGGCCAATGCTGAGAGACACCCCACTTACCCAGCTGATCCAAGTGTAATCTTCCTGCAGGGTTGCTGTGGAGGCCTAGTATATCTGTTCTGGCATCTAGGATAGGGCAGCTTGGGATTGCCTGTCCCATGTGGAGCCCCTGGCAGTGACCTGATGAGTTCTATGGGGAAAGAAATCTTGGCTTCTTAAGTGATATACTCACTCATTGCAGTTCAGGCCAAAGAACCTTGGTGTGAGCCTGTCGTCTTCCATCTTGCTGCTTGTCTAGATCAAATTGTGAAACATGGTGTGATCCCCTGTGACCAACCCACTCCTGGGAAGGGACAGTAGGAATCCTGACCTCACTCCCTCCTGGCTGCGTGAACTTGATCTAGGGACCCTACTTCCTGGT